TGCAGTAGTGTCATCAGGGCTCACTGGAGCCTCAACCTCCTGAACTCAAGTAATCCTCTCACCTCAGCCTCCCAAGTAGCTGGGACCACAGGTCCACTACCATGTCCAGCTAATTTTTGTAATTTTTTGTTGAGATGGGGTTGGTCATGTTGCCCAGGCTGGTCTTGAACTCCTGAGCTCAAGCAATCCTCCTGATTTGGCCTCCCAAAGTGCTGGGATTACAGGTGTGAGCCGCTGCACTGAGTCCAATGAACAATTTATTTGACAACATTTACCGGATATCCAACACTGCCTTCAGCGGATGGGCAGATTTCTCTAAGAAGCTGTGCTTTTTGCGAAGCTGTCAAGACAACCCTGGGATGGAGGGAAGGTGGCCTGCAGCTGGGAACCCCACTTACTGCCTCCAAATCCTCATCAGAGTTCCCGACACGTCCCTCTTCCCATCCTCATACTACATTCCAAATTAGAAAAAGCAGAAAATGGGGCCAGCCGTGGTGGCTCATGCCTGTAATCCCAGCACTTTGGGAGGCCGAGGTGGGCACATCATGAGGTCTGGAGATTGAGACAGTCTGATCAACATGGTGAAACCCCATCTCTACTGTAAATATAAAAATTAGCCAGGCTTGGTGGTTCACACCTGTGATCCCAGCTACTCAGAAGGCTGAGGCAGGACAATCACTTGAACCTGGAAGGTGGTGGCTGCAGTGAGCCGAGATCACGCTGCTGCACTCCAGCCTGGGTGACAGAGCGAGACTCTGTCTCAAAATAAAATAAAATAAAAATAAAGAAAAACTAGAAAATGGGATGATTAGGCTCCCTCGCATTTCTAAGATACTGCCGTTTCAATTTTAATAGACCCAAGTCTAAAAGGGTGTCATCGCTTGCAAAATTTAAAAGTAAAACAAACAGGGAAACCCCAAGTCTCTAAGTGTCTAGCTTCATCTAAGAATCTTACTCAAAACTCAGATCCTGGCCTACTGGGGAGAGGATGCAGGTCTCTAGGGTCAGGGCGCCCAATACCTTTCACAGTTGCTTTGGTCTCTATGTGGCTCAGATCTGCGGCTACTCCGGGTGTGTGCGCGATATCATAGAGGGTCAGGCGGCTCACCAACGGGCTGTTCTTCAGGAGTAGCGAAAGGGGCTGCCCAATGCCTCCAGAGGCCCCTAGCACGGCTACTTTAGCATTGTTCTAAAAAGGGGCACAGAGAAAGGACTCTTAAAATGAAATGAGCATGAAAAGGATTCACATGCTATCCTGCAAAAATATCGCACTGGGCCTCTTTTCACTGCAGTTGTCGAAGCAAGATACAATCATTGTATCCGTGTCATTCTCGTAGAATTACGGACCTTCATTCCAAAGGTCCACTTTCAAATGGAGAGAATTTGTCTATAGAGGCTGTGATCCTCAGGGTACTTCAAAACCCTCCTGAAAGATGAAGAACAAGCTTGGCTCCACCAGGCAGCTGGACTGGTAATAGCAGCCTTACCTTCAACCTGCAGCTTTAAAAGCTATAAACACATACTGAGTGCCTAGCAACAGCCCCTCCCAGTAACTGAGGTTGCAGCAAGAGCCCTGCTGGCTCTGTAGGAGACTGGTAAAGAGATGCTTTAGGAGCGGAGAGAAGACTGTCACAGGAGCCCCTGGTGCAAAGGGAAGATGGGGGCAGGGCAATCAACTCCCTGCAGGGATGAGGAATCAGGGAAGCAACTTCTGGCTGGAGCCTAAGGCATGATGTGGAACTGCCTAACAGGTGGACGGGGGAATGCACGTTGCGAAAGGCTCCACCCTCCTAGGTGAGTTGGATCCGTCATCCCGGGCTCCAGTATCTCACACCGGTTCTCCAGCTTAGGTGTGATCAGAATCACCTGCTGAGCTAACGAAGCCTACCCAGGACTAGGCTCCTGGGAGCGGGATAGGGCTTAGGCCTTGGCATTTTTGCCATCTTCCCCAGGTAATTTTGATGCCAAACAGTTTTGAGAATCACTGCTTCATACCGGGATCATCAGAACAAGTAGCAAAGTTGTCAGGTCTCCAATATGCAAGCCTGGAGCCTGAAAGTCTAAGTCCTGCTTGCCTCCGCTGATGTCTCCCACCCCCCACCTGCGTTCACCATTGTCCCTAATGGCCCAGCTTTGGAGCTTCCCCGCACAAGCCCCTCACCCAACCCTGCCATTGTAACTGAACTTGTGGTCCTGTATACTCCCTTGCCCCTACCCCCACCACTGTAACTGAACTTACTCTGCAATACCCCCACCCCCCCAAAAACTACCCAAACCTATAAAACCAACTCCTGTCCACTGCCCTTTGCTAATGCTGGCCTTAGCCCACCTGCACCCAGGTGAACAAACAGCCATGTTGCTCACACAAAACCTGTTTGGAAGGTCTCTTCGTTCAAAGTGTGTGTTTTTCAACAAAAGTAGCAGCTGGCCCTGGGCATTTCAGCTTGGAACAGTTAGGAGAGTGAGGGGGTGAAAGTGATCTAACCCCGCATCCCGCAATCACTCCTGTTATTCAAATATTCAAAGGCTCCCCTCTGGGTCTCACTCAACGTCTGACCAAAATTTCAGCCACCCCCAGGGGAGCTTGTTTCCAATCTAAACTCACAAATGATAGGTGGAGCCTGTTCCTGGCAGGCAGGCAGGTAGCTCCAGTGAGGAAAGAGACAAACTGTAATCCCAGCACTTTGGGACGCCGAGGCAGGCAGATAATGAGGTCAAGAGGTTGAGACCATCCTGGCCAACACAGTGAAACCGTCTCTACTAAAAATACAAAAATTAGCTGGGCATGGTGGTGCACACCTGTTGTCCCAGCTACTTGGGAGGCTGAGGCAGGAGAATTGCTTGAACCCGGGAGGCAGAGGTTGCAGTGAGCCGAGATTGTGCCACTGCACTCCAGCCTGGTGACAGAGTAAGACTCCGTTTCAAAAAAGGTGAACCCCTAACTGCCTGGAAACTTGAATCTGTCAGACCTGCTCAGAACCTGAGATGAGGCAGTCTCACCCACTTCTGGATCTTCAACTCTCACTCCCACATCTTCAATCTTTGGGACTCCCAAACTGCATTCCCAGTTGTTAGGCATTCCATGGGTTCCACAAACCCAACTGTCCATTTATCCTGCCCCCCCCCATCCCAAATGGCACTTGTGTTCGCTAAACGTAAACTTTTAGAACCATCCTCTGCCGCCTCCTTCCTACCAGAGACATCAAGTCAGGACGTAAAGAACTTGGCAGCTCAACCACCCTCCTGACCCGTTCCTCCTCTTCGTTCTATTCCATTATCTAACTCAGGCACTCAGCGATACATCCAAAGCACCCTTCCCCAAAATCGAAGTCTTTATCTTTCACTCCCATGCTAAAATATCTAGCTGGCCTGGTGCTGTGCACCTGTAGTCCCAGCTACTCAGGAGGCTGAGATGGGAGATCACTCGAGCCCAGGAGTTGAGGCTGCTGTGAGCCATAATGAAGCCACTGCACTCCAGCCGAGGCACAAGATTCCATTTCCTTTAAAAAAAAAAAATCTTCTGGGCTGGGAGTGGTGGCTCAAACCTATCATCTCAGCACTTAGGGAGGCTGGGGTGGGTGGATCACTTGAGGTCAGAAGTTCCAGACCAGCCTGGCCAATATGGCAAAACCCCATCTCTACTAAAAATACAAAAATTAGCCAGGTGTCATAGCCCACACCTGTGGATCCCAGCTACGCAGGAAGCTGAAGCAGGAGGATTGCTTGAGCCCAGGAGTTGGTTGCAGTGAGCCAAGATCATACCACTGCACTCCAGCCTGGGCGACAGAATGAGGCTCTGTGTCAAAATAAAACAAAATTGGTCTCCTCTTCCCTAACACAAGCACCCCACAATCCCCATTTTTCTTGTGTTCATCACTATTTTAAGATCCCTTATAAGAAGGGAGTGCAGTAAAATATCTAGTAATTTCCATGAGAGCAGGGACTTCTTTGTTTTGTTCACCACTGTATTTCCAATACCTAGCTCAATAAATATGTCGAATATCTGAAAGTCCTACCAAAACTCAAACACAGGTGGGGCACAGTGGCTCATGCCTATAATCCCAGCCCTTTGGGAGACTGAGGCGGGTGGATCACCTGAGGCTGGGAGTTCAAGACCAGCCTGACCAACATGGATAAACCCCGTCTCTACTAAGAAATACAAAATTAGCTGGGCGTGGTGGCACATGCCTGCAATCCCAGCTACTCAGGAGGCTGAGGCATGAGAATTGCTTGAACCCAGGAGGCAGAAGTTGGGGCGAGCCGAGATTGCACCATTGCACTCCAGCCTGGGCAACAAGAGCGAAACCCTGACTCACACTAACAAACAAACAAACAAACAAAACACCTCAACCACTCCCTGGACATCATTCTTCCCTGTCAGCTGCCCCTCCCTCGCACCTCACCACAGACCTTCATCGCCTCCACCTGTTCTAAGTTTACGCGTTTCTGTCCCATCTCAAGTGCCACTTGTCACTTAATCTTGGTATCCCCAGCAGCACCCAGCAGAGTTCTTGGCAACTTATGATGGGGTCGCCTGTGGGAACCCACTGCAAGTTGAAAATATACAAAGTTAAAAACTCGCCTTTTGACTTATGATATTATCAACTTGCGAAGGTATAGGAAGTAGCCATAAATCCAGGAGCTTTGTATTTAAAGTGAACTGGATGTACAGGAAACTGGAAGTGAGAACTTCAATGATAAATTTGGATTCCCCTTTAAAATTATCCCCCTCTTGGGCGTGGTAATTAAAGGGCAACGCAGGCACCTCGTGGGTACTCAAACTTAGGTTTAATTCGATTCACTTGGTAAAAATGCAGAAACCCCGGTCTCACGCTTCTTCAATGAGCCCAGGCCTCTGTTCTTTATTAGCTTTCAGGTGATTCTGATACACAGCTGAGTTTAAGAACCACCATCCCAGAAGGCGGCTAAGAATAGCTTTGGCTTAAGTGGTCTCGGGCCAAGCCCAGCACGGTGTTAAGACACCTGGAGGCCGGCTCAGTCCCGCCTACAACGGAAGAGATCCTTCAAAAAGGTTAAGAGGAAGCCGTCTTCAGGTCAGAAGAGCCGAATTTTAATCCTCTGGCCAAATGGCTGTGTAACCTGAGCCCAGTTCTCCAGCCTCGGTGCCTCGGTTTGTCCATACTATGCAGTTGAAAATTACACGATTTCTTTTATTCACGCACACTCACACGGATGCAGCAAGAAGGAGCTACGTCAAAGCAATGGAAAGCTGCAGAAAAAACGTAAGTTTACTTTCGGATCCCGAGCCTTGGTTTCCCAACCTTGAAGGCGTGCAGGACAAGAGCAGGTCCTCTGGGGGACCCCTGCCAAATGCACCAGCCCTGGAGCGGGACTACTTCGTCCCCTTCTCCCGAACTTTCTCCCCGGCACCTTCCTGCCAGCGTCAGGGCCTGTCCGGGGCGCCACAACCTCCAGCCTGCAGTCCACGCTGGCCTGGAGAGGGTCAGAGCTGCCCGCGAACCAGGAACGCACGTGGCCCGGGCCGGGGGGCCTCCGCGTGCAGCCCGCCCCTCATCGGGCTTACCTGGGCCGAGGTGCTGAAGCTGCGGCGGAGAGCGGCGCTGGCAGGCCGGGTGAGGGAGGAGAGCATGGCTGGAGCGGGCGGGGGGCGGACCGGCAGGCACAGGAGCTGGCCACGGGCGAGTGACTCCAACGACCTCCACACTGCGCAGCAATCCCGGGTCCGTTCCGTGGGGCCTCGCGAGAGTGACAGGACTTCCGGTTACGCTCACCTCCCTGGTCTCGTGAGATCACGGCCACTTCCGGGAGTCGGAAAGGAAGGCTCCGGGACGCGCTTGGCAACCGAGGTGTTTTTTGCTGGGGCTTAGCGGTCGCAGTGGGAGGGACGGTTCGCACCCGAGAGGTGGAAGAGGACGGGCATTAGGCTGGAAGCGACTTAGAGGAGACATTTTTCCAGGTGGGGCCCCAGGCGGAGGCTCGGAGCCGGGAGTTGGCGTGCGTCCCCGACCCGAGCCGCCGACCTCAGCCAAACCCATCCCTCCCGCCCCTGGAGGCCAGAGAGGGGTCTGAGCTCCGGAAGGGCAGGTCCAGGGAAGGCTGAGAGTCCTTGGGCGGGGTGGGAGGAAGGGGCCGAGTACTCAGATCCGGGCCGTTGTCCCCCAAGTTGCAGAGACCCTTGCGTTCAGGTTAACAAAGCTTTATAGCGACGCCACTGCTGATCATGGCGACCTCCAGCCCTGCGAACTTTAGAGGACCACCGCTCTGTGTTACGCATGAGCAAATAGGTTATAGGGACAAAACTTCCGTGGTCGTGTAGTGCCTACCCAGCAGTGCTCTGAACACGGCCCCACTGTTTCTGCTGTACGAATAAAGACCCTGTGGCTGAGGCCTAGTGGATATGCAGAGTTCATGCAGACAGAAAGTCGAGTAGAATTCCCTGCTCACAAGGAGTTTGTCATTTAACTCTATGAATTTATTTTTGAGATGGAGTCTCGCTCTGTAGCCCAGGCTGGATTGCAGCGGCACTATCTTGGCTCACTGCAACCTCCTCCTCGCAGGCTCAAGCGATTCTCCCGCCTCAGCCTCCTGAATAGCCGGGACTACAGGCGTGCGCCACCACGCCCGGCTAATTTTTATGTTTCTAGTGGAGACGGGGTTTCACCATATTGGTCAGGCTGGTCTTGAACTCCTGACCTCAAGTGATCGCCTGCCTGTGTCTCCCAAAGTGCTGGAATTACAGGCATGAGCCATTGCTCTCGGCCTCCATCTGTAAATTATGAGCTTCATTCCGTCCCCCTCGTGCTGTTATCTGGGTATACAGAGATGTCTCAGACACAGTCCTTACCTTGAAAAAGTTTCGCAGTCGAGTGGAGCCGATCGATGTGCCACAGGTTGCCACCCTGATAGAGGCATGTATGAACCCAGATGGGACCAATGACTAAGGCAGCCTGGGGCCAGTGGTTGGGAAAACAGGAGTGGCAATAACGGCAGAAGTGCTAAAGAAGGTATCAATACAAGAGTTCTTGGCGAATGCTGGACTCTTTCCTCTCTTCCACGTCTTTATTGAACTGCTAAGATCTGCCAGCCTGGCTGGGGGCAGTGGCTGACCCCTATAATCCCAGCATCTTGGGATGCCGAGGCCAGAGGATTGCTTGAGCCCGGGAGTTTGAGACCAACCTGGGCAACAAAGCAAGACCCTATCTCTATATTTCTTTTTTTTTTTTTTTTGAGACGGAGTTTCGCTCTTGTTACCCAGGCTGGAGTGCAATGGTGCGATCTCGGCTCGCCGCAACCTCCGCCTCCTGGGTTCAGGCAATTCTCCTGCCTCAGCCTCCTGAGTAGCTGGGATTACAGGCACACGCCACCATGCCCAGCTAATTTTTTTTGTATTTTTAGTAGAGACGGGATTTCACCATGTTGACCAGGATGGTCTCGATCTCTTGACCTCGTGATCCACCCGCCTCAGCCTCCCAAAGTGCTGGGATTACAGGCTTGAGCCACCGAGCCCGGCCTATATTTCATTTTTAAAAGAAAAAAAGTTTTGGCTGGGTGGAGTGGCTCACGGCTGTAATCCCAGCACTTTGGGAGGCCAAGGCGGGTGGATCATGAGGTCAGGAGATCGAGACCATCCTGGCCAACACGGTGAAACCCCGTCTCTACTAAAAACACAATAAATTAGCTGGGTGTGGTGGCATGCACCTGTAATCCCAGCTACTCGGGAGGCTGAGGCAGGAGAATTGCTTGAACTTGGGAGGCTGGAGATTGCAGTGAGCCAAAATTATTGAGCCACTGCATTCCGGGCTGGGTGATGTGAGACTGTCTTTTAAAAAAAATAATATATATATTTATTTATTTAAAAAGATATGCCAGCCCAATTTGGGAGCTGAGTATTCAAGTCTGAACATGATCTACATATTCTCTGCCTACAAGGAGCTTGGAGTCTAGGGAGAGACAAGTAAATTGCAAGCAGCACAAATAAATAATAGAAGTGTGAATTGCTATAGGGACACAGAGGAGGTACATATAACCCAGGACTGGGCTGGGGGTAGAGGAGACTGGGCTGGACTGGGCTGAGACAGGACAGGACTGGGCTGTATGAGAGAGGACCTTCCAAATCTGAGATGTGGCTGGATGTGGTGGGTCATACCTATAATCCCAGCATTTTGGGAGGCCAAGGTGGGAGGATCACTTAAGGTCAGAAGTGTGAGACCAGCCTGGGAAACATAGCAAGACCCCATCTCTATATTTTTAAAATTAAAAAACACTTCCAGGCATGGTGGCTCATGCCTGTAATCCCAGCACTTCGGGAGGCCTAGGTGGGCAGATGACTTGAGGCCAGGAGTTCGAGACCAGACTGGCCAACATGGTGAAACCCTGTCTCTACTAAAAATACAAAAATTAGCCCAGCGTGGTGGTGCCCACCTGTAGTCCTAACTACTCTGGAGGCTGAGGTAGGAGAATCACTTGAACCCAGGGGGCGGAGGTTGCTGCGAGCCAAGATCATGCCATTGCACTTAAGCCTGGGTGAAAGGCAAAACTCCATCTCAAAAAAAAAAAAAAAAAGGACACACACGGAGCAGATAAGCTGAGACATGCTGGAAGAGTAGGTGTTTCTCAGTGGAACATTCAACTCCAGAGGAAGGAGAGATCCCTTGCCTGGGAATCAGAATCCTCAAAGGAGGGGCACTAGGGCCTGGGCATTTAACAATGGGAAATGTTTAGACAGGAAAGGAGGAGGAAAAAAGGCCAAATAACCCGGAGTTGGGGAAAAAACACAGGCCAGTATTCAGGGGACAGGGTATAGGTCGTTTATTTTAGAGTGGGGATGTTAGGCAGTGTCCTTTATCTTATCACTGAATGTGTCCTCTGGTAATTATTTACCCCTCTGTCTTGTCGTTAGAACTGAGCACCTCGGAGCCAGATACTGAGTCTTGCATCTCTGTGTCTTTTTTGTCCAACATGTGACTGGGCTGAGAGTGGGCCTCAGTGAATTTGGGGAGAGAAATGGTTTTAGGTACAGCTGGAAACAGCAGGTTGGGAAAAAACTAGATCATGCTGGTCCTATGAATGTTACCTGAGAAGAAGATTGTATTTCATTTCTTGGAAAGGCTTTTTTTTTTTTTCTTTTTTTTTAAGATGGGAGTCTCCGTTGCCCAGGCTGGAATACGGCGGTGTGATCTTGGCTCACTGCAGCCTCCTTCTCCAGGTTCATGCAATTCTCCTGCTTCAGCCTCCTGAGTAGCTAGAATTACAGGTATATACCACCATGCCCAGCTCATTTTTGTATTTTTAGTAGAGACAGGGATTTGTCATGTTTACCAGGCTGGTCTCGAACTCCTGACTCTCAAGTGATCTGCTGGAGTCAGCCTCCCAAAGTGCTGGGATTACAGGCATGAGCCACCACGCCTGGCCAATCAAAGACTATTATGACACCTCCAGAACTGTGTTTGTAGAAGATTAGACTGATCTTGTATGCTAAGGATTCCCAGGGAAAAAAAAAAGGAGGGCAGGGAGATTGTTTAGGAATCTGTTTTTTGAGATGACAAAGGTCTGAATTATGGTGGTGGCTGTAGGAATGGAGAGGGTGGGACCAGTGTGGGAGAGGTCTCATGGGAAGAATGGGTTAGTCTGTGCTCATCTGGGTTTGAGAAATGAATGAAAGTGGGTGTGGGAAATACATGCTGAAAGAGGGAAGTTGGGTTATGCCAAAGGAGAGCTGGCTGGAGGAAAAATAAAGAGCTCCATTTTAGAATTGGAATTGATGCTGAGTTAGCCATATAGAACTATCAGTGGGCTGGGCTGCGCTCATGCCTGTTATCCTAGTACTTTGAGCAGTCAAGGCAGACAATCACTTGAGCTCAGGAATTCAGGACCAGCCTGGGTAACATGGCAAAACCCTACCTCTACAAAAAGTACACAAATTCAGCCAGGCATGGTGGCTCACGCCTGTAATCCCAACACTTTGGGAGGCTGAGGTGGATGCATGGTCAGGTCAGGAGTTCAAGACCAGCCTGGCCAACATGGCGAAACCCCATCTCTACTAAAAGTAGAAATCAGCTGGGTGTGGTAGCAGGTGCCTGTAATCCCAGCTACCTAGGAGGCTGAGGCTGGATAATCACTTAAACCTGGGACGTGGAGGTTGCAGTGAGCCAAGATCACACCGTTGCACTCCAGCCTGGACAACAAGAACGAAACTGTCTCCAAAAAAAAAGTACGAAAATTCTCTGGGCATGGTGGTGTGTCTGTAGTCCCAGCTTCCCGA